TGGGAGATACTATGGTTTGGTTAATTTATTCAGGTTCTGATGGAAGCGGTTTAGAATAACCATTTGCTATACAAATAGCATAGGAGTCCTTTAAAGGTAATCTCAGCGACCACTTCGAAGTCAAGAACAACAGAGGGTCACCCAAAAACTTTTCAAGCACTTAAATTTTTAACTATCAGAATTGAAATTTCAACGAAAGAAATGTGATATATTGAATCATTGCGAAAACTCTTGGCCAAGCATAAAAAAATCTATTATCGCCTGATTCATCTAGATTACTAAATTTTTACTCAATTGCAATTATTTAGTAACGACAGTGGAAATCTGGTAATCGGGAGATTGCTAGATTCCTCTGCAATGCAACTATCGACTTATCGCCCAATAATCTATCGATTTAACTATTACTAGTTGTACATGCAGAGGCACCTAGTTAAAGGTCCCTTTTCCAACTAGTATTTTAGATGACAACTAGTCGTGCATCGCCCGATCACAGACAAAATGTATCTAGATTTTCCGATAGGTGACTTTCGCTTGAGCTGGTTCCTACCGCGTAATAACTTCCAAAGTTTCTCCGATAAATCTCCTTGTTTCTGATTTCTGAAGACCGCCCTTCAAAGGATTTATAGGCCATTTTTCTAGCAAACTTTTCAGTGTACAAAAGTCGATTGATTTCGGTGGGGAAAAGCAAACTGCTGAGAAGCCACTGATTCTGAATGAAATCAAACTTTAAAACACCTGAATATTTTCAATTTTTTGAAATCTTTGAGGCTGAATGTTAGTTTCTTAGAAACAAAACATACTTCGTTAATCGCTGCTGGCGAGAATGGAACGGAAATACATCCGAGTTTATAAACTCACCTATAGAAACCAAGGTTTCAGCAAAATCCCTGCTCGAGAAAACCAAGCTAGCGGCAGAACTTGCTGGCTTAAACAATGGCTGGCAATTGACGTAACACATCCGAAAACTACAACAATTTTAATGATCCAGCCACCTCTCTTCCCCCATAGCCTGCCATCAAAGTGCCTTCAAATCGCTATAGTAGCCCTTAAGTGCCGCAGTTGATCGCAATGTCTGCAAAGTTTAAGAAGCAAAGGTGGGACGTAGTCTCACGCTGCATCATAGTTTGATACTAAACTCAACGCGCAAGCCTGTAGCGCGAGGTCAAGACAAAGGATCCATCAGCGAACTCTCAAAAAATCGACGTCATTGTCTGTGGTGTAAGTCTACGGTTTCGGGAAGCTGCATCGCAGCACAAATTGAAGTCTACCTAGTTTTATTTCCGTGCTGCCAACTGCCATTTCTTAACACAGGGAGTGGAACACATTATGCAAAGTGATATTATGTAACTTATGCATGTTAAAACACAGAAAATTAAAAAGAACCATTCTGATGAGTGAGGTAATCGGTGGATAATAAAACTTTTCAGATTTACTTAAACAAAAAAATGAGTATGGGCTTACTTCATTAAATAGAGAGGTGCCAGTTGCAGAGAACACAATCCCCACCAACTTGTTGAAGTTGCAACTGTTTGAGAATGTGTTGTAATGGCTTGGTAAATTCTGTTCAATGTTTGGTCATATTGAATGGTAATCATGAGAGCAAGAGTCTTATCTATAGGAATCGGAAGCTTGAATTCATCTGTAATTGACTGAGTATAGCTTAAAATTGGAAAAAGACAATGATACACTGAGAGACGAAGTTCGATAATCAGTTATACCTATGGAAAAACTCTTCATACGTAGATGAGATTGAATCCGCATTCTTCTCGGTTTTTATTTTCATATCGGTTATTTGAACTAATGAAGATGTTGAATATGTCTGCTTTTGACTACCCACACTGAATGTATATGTTTCATCTCGTTGACTTAAATCAAATAATGGATGTTTTGTTTCACCAAGATTCAATGTACTTTGCATTTTCACTGCTTCAAAACCACATGCTATTTCCTCTATACCAGGTAACATAGGAGCTGCTGTTGATGACGTAGTTCCTGTGGGCGTTTCTGATACAGTTACTGCTAAAAGCTGGATCAGCAATAGAAAAAGGAGAGAAATTGAATGTAGAGTCATATTTTCGTTTTGATGTGATGTCATCTAAAACTGAACGGTATCTTAGATGTTTATCTACCCATTGGAACTTTTAAATAACTTTAAATTAATGTACACTAATTTCTGACTCAAAAAACGATGAAAAATTACTTCACATCAGTTTAAGAGGCCAAATTAATTTAAATTCGTTTGTAGGAAATTAGTTTACATCAATTTCGCACTGAAAATGAACTGGAATTAATTTCTAGGTTAAAATTAGTTCCAATTAGTTTGAAAAGACATTAATTTAAACTAGTTTTAACTAAACTGGTTTGAATTAACTTATTTCGAATGAATTCGAATTAATTTCGTGCTTTAAATTGCTTCAAATTAATTTCTACTCTCAAATTGATTTAAATAAATGTTTTTGTAACACATCTGGAACAATTTCGATAATATAAATTAGTTTTAATTAATTTCGAAAATGTCGAAAAGTTTAATGTTGAGTTTAATGTCGAAAAGTTTAAAATAATGTGTACATTCGATCGAGAAAGAAGTGACCGGAGGTATTTTCTGAATCGCGATTTTTTTGTCCAGGCCTGCGAGAATAAGGTAAAATTCAGCTTTTATTTTCCACTACTACTTAAAAAAAATATCAAGTGCTTTCGACTAGTGTTGGAAAGCGAAGTAAAACATGTTTGTTCGAACTTTGATCGTAATATATTGACAGTTTTTCTATCAAATTTTGTGGTTTCAGATACAATTGATTGTTCGTCAATAATCGTCCTATCATTAAGGGTACTCCCCCCTCTTTTTTCACCTTGTTGCCAAATGCGGAGTACATGTCCGATTGAGCTCAAATTTATAGCAGAGATAGAACATCGAAAAAGAAAATCGATGTATTTTTGCATAGAATTTTCTGACGTGTTCTTCTATGGGTTTTCTAGAAAACTCTGGTTTTCATCCAGTAACATTACGACCCCTCGAAAAAATGGTCCGATCGAGCTCAAATTTTTACCACAGATACTTTAGGCCCTATCTCAGGTTCGTTTTTTTTCTTTTCAAAAAATATGCTTTCCTTCTCGAGATATCCCAAA